GGCAGGCGGGGCAACCGTCTGAGCGGGTCCTCCCGTCGCCCAGACTCGCGGGAACCCTGCCCAGCCCTGGCGGACGGAAGGCTCCGGCTCGGCCCACCTCGCATGCGGGCCCTCCCCTGCGTCTGCAGCCCGACACCACCCTCGCCACCGCTCCTCAAGGCACCTTAAACTCGCCACTGGCTGCCCGCACCACCCGCACCACCCCCTACTCTCTGCCAAGACCCCCGCAGATATCAAAATCCGCACCTTAAACTCGCCACTGGCTGCCCGCACCACCCCCTACTCTCTGCCAGGATTCATCCAGCTTTCAATCCAGCTCCGGGGCCACCCCCCGTGCGGCCTCGCCCGTCCCTTGGCCGGCACGTGGCTGTGCTACTCTGCATCAGCCTGGCAGGATGCTTATTACCTGTGCTACCTCCAGGCGGTGGCGCCAATGGCCTGGCAGCCCCATAGCGGAGGGCCACCTGGCACTGTGGGTCCACGCAGTGGGCACGCAAGACAACCCACGGTGCTGACCCAACAGCACTTCATCCTGCAGTCATTAGCGCACCCCAAACAGCACTTCAGGTCGGCAGGAAGTGGGACTCGGGAGACTGTATCTGGTCATTAACAAAACTGCTCTTCCAAAGAGCCGCCTCGCCCTACCTCAAGGCATTATGTTTAGAGCAAGAAGTAAAAGGTTTAGAAAGTTAAATTTCCCCTTCCAAAATACGCTTAAAAGCTGAAAGCTGACTTAAGGCTGTGTGACCGATGCGTCACAGTTCTCAGAACGAATCAGGTGTTCCGGGAGCACCTGTGCACTGAGCGGGCACCACGTGAACCAGGCAGCAGGTGCCCGCTCGCAGTGACATGGGAGCAAACCAGACGATCAGTGTATACTTCAGAGGGGGTGACTAATATAAAATGACTCGTTTTGCCAGAAAGATTAACCATTACTCTCGCTGATCTAATGACACACGGCAGGCATCCCTCGGTGTCCACGGGGGACTAGTTCCGGGACCCCCACAGATATCGAAATCCTGGCTGTGTAGAAAGGTGGTTTTACTGTTCAAGAAGTTTCTGTCACTGATGCAAACATGAAGCTCACACTTCTTGCCAAGCTGTGATGAAGTCATGTGTCTCCGACTCAGGAGTATCGAGCTCCTCATTCAAAATGGCACAGAACAGTGTATGCATCCGATGAGGAGGACCGACTACTGTAAGTTAGAGCTTTACTCTTATTAACTCAACAAATGGTTACTGGGGGCTGCATACGTGATGAACTCGGGATACCAGAATGAAAAACCATGGCCCACTCCCACAAAGAACTGATATTTTAGCAAGAAAACTAACTTACGAGACCTGTGAAATGAGCTGACGCCAACACACGGGAAAGTTAACACTAATGGCCATTCCAGCATAAAACGGGGCTGCGGAACAACGCTACCATAACCTCGTCCCTTTAAGGAAGTTGTTCTCAAACTGAGAGTCCAGGGACTTCCAGCAAATCTCTTAGGAAATAGGGCAGTTTCCTAAACTACCTGAAATAACAGGCAGACGTTCTGTGTACACATCTTTCTGGGGGAAGAGCCCACAGACGTAGTACACAGACTGAAGGCAGGAAACAGCTATATCTTCCCCTCACAGACCCAGTCCCATCAAAATTAGATGAATAAATGTTATGTTAATTTGATCCATACTATGCCTCCTCAAAAACGATCACCTTCCAAATGACTAGATTAAATCTGAATGAAATGCCTTCTCAAAAATTATAACCTTCCAAATGAGTCAGTGACAGAAACTTCTTGAACAGTAAAACCATCTTTCTACACAGCCACCTGGGATTTAAATGCACTGCACTGATCTATGAGACATGAACGAAATACTCAAGTCACAGAGGTGTAGCTAGAAGAGAGGGTGGCGATCACATTCAAACTGCCAGATCAGAAAACTTTAAGAAAAAAAGGATCTCTGCATGTTACTTAGGTTTTAAACTGATATTGCACATTTATGTTTTTTATTAAGTTCATCATAGTAACTCAGCTATTAAGTCAATGAGTAAAACCTTACCTTGACCAAACCCTTCAAGCTTCTGGTAGAAAGCACGGGCTTAAAAGCTTCGACTGTGATTAGGTCTAACTTCATGACGTCAGTGTAGCACACGTACAGAACAGCGGGGAGCTTCCACACCTGACAGTAACTCAGAACTATGAACACACAAGGAGAAAAACACTCGAGTTTTCTATTATAGAATATTTAAGTGAATCGTCTCTAAATAATACTGTTTTTAAAAACAGCTGTCTCTGTTGCCTCTTGTAATCAAAGCCTTTACTGCCATCTTGAACCCATTATAATGCATATTTTCTTTCAAAGCCAATTATTTTCCTAAGTATTCTCCTGCATTTGCAAATATTATTTTGCACTTCCTGAACATATGCTGAAACGCATCATAGCTACGAGATTAAAATTTTGACTATAATATAAATAATATACAATGCATAATGTAAAATATTTAGCCACATATTCTAATTAACTTAACATTTAAAGGAAAAACCCCTTTATTAACCAATAACAATTAATTTGTACTATAACATTAACTACTGAAAAGTAAGTGACAATCTAATTTTGATATGATGCTAGAGTATAATTAGTAATAGGAACAAAGATAAAACACACATACGCACATTTCTTTTCTATAATTAGTAATAGGAACAAAGATAAAACACACACACACACACACACTTTTTTCCCCCCCCAGTAGAAAAGCAAAGCTTTATTAGAAGGGAAAGTCCACTTCCAGACGTGGAAGCGGGCCTGACAAGGGAAGCGTGGCTCAAAAGCCCAAAGATAAAATATTAAAGTAACTGGGGGAAGGGGGTACGAAAAAGTGTATATATATTAAAGTAACCACCAAGGTTCAACATCTGAAGCCTTATTCTGACGATTAAAACATACTTCACTAACTTTTCATACGCCAGCAACGTACACCTAGCATTGGCTCGCATGATGAGGTACCAAAGACCGAAAAGAAATAGCATTCTTGAAGGGTAAGAGTTAAGAACTCTGAGCAGCTCTGTGTCTGAAGTCTTTTTAAACGCAAACCAAATACAATGTACTAGCAACTACAGAAACTGAAGATAAACAGCAATGCGTTATCATTCGTCATTAACACACTCCCTCAAAAAGGTCTCTAACATTCAAAGTCACGACTATCAATAAAGCCATACAATGAACCGTGACCTGTTTTAATACTACCTGCTGCAGGAAGGTCGTGCACAATGTTGGGCTGTTCTAGCAGTGAACAGCATGGAGGCTCTTTGAAGTTCTGTGTTTTCAGGGCCTTCAGGAAAGGAGAATGAAGGTTGCTAGTAGATTCTGAAGTTTTGTAGTCGGTAACATGTCGACACGTAAGAATAGTTACCTGCATATTCTTCTTTGGACAAGAGCCAAAAACCTAACACAAAATTGGTTTCCAAATAAGTATACACACACACATATGTAATATATATATATCATTTTGTCACAGAGCAGAAACATCCCTCTATGACCTATAACCTAGCACAATGCTGATTACGCTTGTGAAATAGGTTCTTTTATTCTTTATATCTTGTAACAAATTTCTAGAACGTTATTAAGGAAAAAACCCAAATACTTCCCCACTTCGATATGTGACAATGAAGGTTTAAGTGTAGAGATACTGAACCTTTAACAAATGGCAACTCCTGTCGTCGACCACACCCGGCCTGCATCTCTCACCTTTTCCAGCCACTGATACTGCTGATCTTCAGCAACGTAGCAACTGCACTGGCAAATAAAAACCTGAAAAACCGAAATGCAAGTTTTTCTAAGGTCAAAGAGATTTCACACACCCCCAACGTATCACAATATATGTTATGTGAACCCTAATATACGATTTAGATAACACTTTCCTGAATCTGCTACTGGCTTATTTTTCTTTAAAATTTAAGAATCAAGCTAATCGTGGCAATTAACATCAGAATAAAGTGCACACTGACAGCTACTGTGAGACGCTGAAGATATTCCCAGTAAATCCCATTAGAATCCTCTTTATGAAACAGGGATGTTGCCAGCCCTGCTGCCCTTCTGAGGGTCGCACGTTGTGACAACCAAACTCAAAGTTAAGATCCCTGTAGAACGTCATCGCCAGATGACACCAGGTGCTATGGGAGTAAAGGACAGCGGCCCGACAGGGTCTCGGCCCAGACGGCATCCTGCAGCGCTGCTGAAGCCTGAGAAGAAGGTGTTATTTTAGAAACCAAGTCGTGAACCGCATGCTCAAGGTGAAAGCGTCTGCGAGGCCGCGATGCCAGGAGAGGATGAGACTCCCGGTCGTGACACTGTCCGCAGACGTCAACCACGTTTTCTATGAAAATACTGACAAACACACTAACGACCACACAAAAACTGCACAAGAGGGGAAAAAGGAGGCCCCGGGACAGGGGAGAAGAAAAAGACTGGGTATGGAACTAGCTACACACAAAGGATCTGAATACTCAAGAGCTCTCTAACCAATAAATAGTACGGATAACCAGACCTGATCTTCTACCTGACCTTCGCTGCCTATTCTAAAGTAACTAAGCTGTTACAAAGAGCGTGCTTAGTTTATAACTGGATGTTTATAATAATCCTTATGAATCCTTCAATAACTTTGGATCATGTTATAGAAACCAACTGTATTATAAAATCAAATTCTACAGTTTTCAAGGCTGCCATTTGGTCCTTACCTTCTGAAATAAGCAACGCTATTATATTACGGAATTACTGACTTCTTCCATTGTTTGAGTCCCTGTCCCTGGCCTTTGTCGGAGTGCTCAGCAGTGTGGAATGGCGCTCTTTCAGACAAGCAGATGGGGACACATACATAACCTGCCCGGCCGCCTCATCTGCCTGACTTGTCTCCCAAACTGCCTAGTATGCTGCATTCTCTGAATGAACCCAACCTTAGCTTCAGGACAAGTGTAATCTAAAGGAATCATTCGGCTTCAGGTACAGAATGCCTCTTCTGACTTAAAATATCAGGACAAAATAGGTTAGGATGAAAGCCTGATGTCCACAGAATTGTATTTAGAATGCATCTGTTGAACGAACGTTAACTGGGTTTCTAGCGTGTACGTGGCACTGGCTAAGTACTGGGTATACAGCCACAAAGGAGAACTCCCTGCTGATGAAGTGGACACATTTTTGCACTTTTTGAGGCGCCAACTGAAATAATTTTTTGAATGAGGGTAAGATTTAAGTGTCTAATGCTTACAGCTCATTTCTAACGAACTTATTTCAGAATCTCCTAAGAATTTTACCAACACGCTGTATGGGCCACATTAATATTTATCTAAGCAACGAAGTGGTGACTGCCACTGCCTACGGACTTCTAGAATGTCTCAGTGCGACAGTAAATATGGAGGAATGTGGCGTTCACATGAACACTACATAAACGATGCCTGCTTCTGACGCATACAAATTAAGGCCCACGTACCGAGGGGTTCGATTTCAGATGGTAAAACACGCAGAAAGCCTCTGGGGGGGACACATGCACAGTGTCTGTTGTCCTACACCACTCGTTCCAGAGTTTCGCACAACCAACTTCCTCCCAGACTCCCGAATTCATAACGAATGACGACAGAAATGCTGTGGAAAACAATTCAAGTAAGTTAGTGTTGTTTCAAGGTGTGTTTTCTATTCAATAAAAAAAATCGGTCCACCTCTTGCCTTACTCGGAAATGCCTGCTCCTCTTTTCGACTGAGCTCAAACCCGACCACCCCGCTGAAGGTCGCTCCCCCTCTAACCACGCAAAAGAATTCTGCACTTCGAAATATTTAATCACATGTAGACTAAGTTGTACCATAAAAGGGTTTTTTAAAAAAAGTAGTCTCTGTAAAATCTAATAACAGAGACTAATAAATGAGATGACTATTTGAAACTAAAAAATAATAACAAAAATAAAAAAATAAGTTCATTCAAGTTAGTCTAGAATTCTAGAGGTAAAAGAGCCGTCCGAGGCCATCGGCCTTGCACCACCATCTTCCAGAAAAGGAAACTGAGGCCTTGAGACGGTGAAGGCCAGGTCCTGAGCGCAGATGGCACTGGAGCCAGGAACTGGGACGACAGGTCTGACAGACTTTACCACGCTCTCACAGTGTGACACTCATCCGGAAAGCTTCAGGACAGAGAACTTCGCATGAACGAGTCAGTGGTTATTCACCGTGTGCTGCTCTGTGAGCACTGGGGCTACCGTACAGGGAGGGCATGGGATCTTACAGAGATGCCAAATGCTCTCCTCGGGACAAGCGAACCCCTAAATTACACAGGTGTTGGTACCTGCACATGTACGCTGTCCCAGCTGAACTCCACGCCGCTCTAACTTTAACCTCTCAAACAGATTCACGCGTGTAAAAACCTTAGCACTGGAGTTCTCAAAATATTAGCCATTCCTGTTATTTGTAGAGTTCATTAATCCAAAAACATTTAAGAGCCATCGCTACCAAGGGCCATGTACACACGCACCACCTCTGCCCCACCCAGTCTGGCCAAAACAAGCGCAGGAGCCTAAGGCACCCCAAATACCGCAAACACCAGGACTGAGCCCTTGAGTCTGTAAGTTCCCGAAACTTAGAACATTTCTTTTAAATCTCAGTTTTTAACTTTATCAAAAAGAGACTGTCATATAAGCAGGGATAGATTTTACTCAGAGACAAAGGTGTTCTATGACTTTTTCCAAAAGAAATGACAGACATTTAAAATCTTTTATGATGAAAAGAAATATAAGTAACTGGAGATTTTATCCTTTCAACGAAATGTGTAGTCTAACGCATTCCCACTTACCTACTGCATTATTTCCTACAGCAACTATAAACTTGGAGCAGGGGTATTTTTCTAGCAGAGACACTTCCAAAGATGTTTTTGTTCCTCTTCGAAGAAGCCGCACCTCCCTAACACAAGAAACAAAAGACAAAACTAAAGCAACTTAAATATAATTAATATTGGATTATGATAAAAAGGATGGTTACCATCAGTGTAATTTTGCATTAAGTAAAATGCAAATTTTAATTTTATAAAGAACATAATTACAATCCTCAAAAAACAATGGATTCGGGCGACAATAATCAACGGATAAAACCATTGTATATGAAATTCCTGGAGAACTCTACAAAAGAGATCAGGCTGTCCACCTGACCCACTTAGCGTCCCTAAAAAAGGGATCACTGGGCATAGCGTGCAGTAAGAAACAGCAAGCACCACTTTCGAAGCATTCTTGCCAGCAAAGTATTGAACTTGAATCTGACCAAGCCTCTAGAAGGAGCTTTACAGAGAATGCAGATGATGGACACATATTAAATGACAGGAAGAGAAAGCATGAGACAAATCAAGGATGTGGGACATGCTACAGGACCACCAGTCTCGGCAGAGGTGCAGAAGGAGGGGCGCTGCTCTACATGAAAGGAAGCTCAAGAGACGAAACGTCTAGATGTAACGTGTGGGCCTTGTTAGAATTCTGATGTACACAAACCCACTGTAAAACGGACATCTGGGACAATTAGATAAATCTGATTAAATTTATCAAATTTGTATTGACAGTATCAAGAGTATCAAAATTTTTTAGTTTTGCTATAAGTGATAATACCATATGCAAGAAAATGCCTTATAACTTTTGAGAAGCATTCTGAAAAGTGTAGAGGTGAAAGGCCACGGTGGCTGGGATTTACTCAGGGGTGATGGGAGATTAAATAAATGCGGCAAAATCTTCATTACCTTCTCCAATTACCGTATTCGTACTTTTAAAAGACATTATCCAACTGCCACTGACACGTAATGCTAACTTAAGTGTGGGGCGTAGAAGAGAAAAGTTCTAAGAGCTGTGTCATGTCCATGAACCAAAGATATGACACAAACCTGGGACACGAAGGTACAGGGCTGTCGTACGGAAAGAGGTTTCAGGGGAGAGCAGGAAACGACCTAAACCCACGCTGAAGGCAGGCGCGGAGGCGGCTCCTTTAACGGCCACCCCCCGCCCGCGTCCGCGGCAGGTGCCGCCTGCGTGCCGCAGCCCCGGGACCGCTCTCCCCGCACACGCCGAGGACTTCCCCGGGCAAAGCGGCGCCGGCGACGAGCGTCCGCCCGCGCCGGCCGAGTACCGGGTCTGGGACCGCGACCGCGTGTCTCACCTCTTCCGCGCCAGCTGCCGCCGGACCTCCCTGTCCTCGGGCGTCTCCCTGCCCGCCTCGCCGTCTTCCTCCTCGTCCTCGGTCCCCCACGCCACGCCCCCTGCGAGCCTTCGCGCACGTGCCGTGGAGCATGGCCACGCCCACCGCCCTAAGCCTTGCCCCCTGGGCCCTGCCACGCCCCCTGCCGCCACCTTCGCGCACGCGCCCCGGGCCCCCGCGGGGTGACGAGGAGACCGAGATGAAATGACTGCGGCCTAGAGAGGCGAGAGGCGAGCCGAGGGCGGGGAGGGGCCGGCGGGGCCTCCCGTCAGGCCAGGTAACGGGCCGCGGAGAGGAGGGTCTCGGCCGCCACCCCCACCCCGCTCTGCAGCGCTCGGGGGAGAGGCCGGCCTCGCTACTCTCCCCTCCTTCGCCCCGTTCCCGTGAAGCGACTGGGTGAGCTTTGGCTTATCACCCAGCTCCACAGCGCGGCCGCCCCCAGGTAGGTGCTGGCCCGGGGCCCGGCGCGTCCTCGGGACCCCGGACAGGAGGATGGAAAGCCAAGAAGAAACACAGTGCTTCGTGGTGTTATAAAAATGAGACCTTTACTCTGGCAGTAGGAATTCACATTTCAAAAGCTGATGATCGTCAAGCTGATCTAAAAGACTTTATGAGAATGCAAAAATAGTTGCTCTTTTTCAAACTTGGCCATTTCTAATACAAAATTTGTTTTTGCTTTAAATAGCCTGTCATTAATAAGCAAAGTGCTTAACTGGTTCTCTTCTTTAAAATTTGCCGGAAGACAACGTTCACGGAGCACAATTCCAAGCAGGATTAAAAAGAACTGTGCCATAGTTTAAATGAAAATACCCAGTATTGCAATGAAAAAATAAAAGTCTGTTTACCTAGATTTAGTTGTGCTGACACTAGACGACACTGCTTATATTCTGGAACCCTATCAAATAGTCACAAAGTTAAGTACTAATTTGGGGTCGGGGAAGCCTCTTAAGAAAAAAAAAAGAAATCAGGAAGTTGCTAGAAACATTTAAGGTGTGGAAGAAACAATGAGCAACTAAAGCATTTACATAAAAACCAATATTTAGCGATTTTACACATAACTGCAAAATATGACTGGGCTATGAAGCAAAATTTGAACATTTAGGTATAAACAATAAGACTAAATTGCTATCCCATCAGAGCTTAGGAAACTTATAGTTAGTGAATATAGAGATTACCAATATGATGTTTTAAAACTGCAATAAGACTCCTGGGTTAATTGGCTTTATAGAATGACTGAACCGCAGAATAAAAAGATTGGGTATCACTCTTAGTCCTTTAGTTGAATAAAATAACGTCATTTTTACCAGTCAGATCCTCAATTTGATTTGTTACATTATGAAGAAATCATTTCTGGAAACCTGATTAAAATTTTAAATGGGGTAATGATAATACATTTGATCATGATTAAAATTCTGCATACATTTTAGAGAGCATTTTACAAGAACGTTAACTTTCAAACAAAAGCTTATTTCATGCAGTTACAATAAATTTAGGCCAAGCACTTAAAAAAAGGCAAATATATGTTCAAATTAAATACTAAACCTGAAAAGGGATTCCATTATGAACGGCTGGTGATACAATCTCAAGTACTGACAGAAATTAACCCCGCCACAAATTATAAATTCAAAATTGAAATCCTTTCATTACACTGAAATTGTCAAAAATTTTCCATAAGTCTTGAGACTTAAATATTTTCATTTTATGGTTATTTGTATTTGTTGAGGCTATAACATACCCAATATCAAATTAAGTGTAAATATGGGACTGGAAATAGGTTTAAACATTGCATTAGAGATCAAAAAACAAACCCTACACACCTAAAAATATGTTTATTAGGAATTCTTCCCTTTCTCACCTGCACTAGTAACAAGAAACTGGTATCAGTATTTCAGATAAAAGTATACTCTGAACAAAGCAAAGGACACAGACTCTATAGGTTAGAAACATTCTGGCTTATGCTAAGAAAACGGAAACGACAAAAGCCTTTTTTTAAGCAGACATGCAATCACAAACAAATTTCTCAAGTAATCTAGACACTTGGTCGACCTGTTTAACCAAAAACTATGCATTACATTAGGCTTTTAATGAAAAAGGAATAGAAACCCTTAGGTTCGTTTTACTTTTTCAGATTTACACATGCAAATCATAATATTCACAGATATTTTTAAATGGGAAAACAACTTCTAACAGTGCATTTTTCCAACAGCATGTTCTATTGTTCAAAGGATTTGACAGTGCGTTCATTTAATCTGGCGATTTTAATTTCAACAAATAGCTATTAACAACAAATGAAAGCTCATTGCAAAGAAATTCTTTAGTGTCAAGACCAGGTTTTCTAATCCTCGTGAAGGCCACAATGAAACACCCCAGACATGCCGCCATTCGCTTGTCGCAATGCGACTGTAATAAATCTGCTCAGTGTTCATAAAGTTCTAACTTTTAAGGTGCTGTAGAAAAACGTAAGAGGATGTCCCTGTGTCATCTAAAAATATGACTATTTTTATCTTCATCTATACTTTTTATTTTCTGATTAAGACCAGCCTCATAACGAGGCATATTCTGGCATCTCTGTAAATGCTACCTGAAAGTAAAAATGAGGAAAATAAGTTGTGATAGTCACATTCATAGCTTTCATAGAAAAATATATATTCCCTGAATTAGTCATATCAAGTGGTCATCATTCAGTATGAATTCGAATATAAACAAAATGTTTTATGACATTTTTGGATTTTATTTCCAACTCTGCTTCAGAACTAGATCAACAGCCTCATCATCGAACCCCTGGGTCCTTCTAGTTCAAGCTGTTTTGACTTTGGGGTTTGTGAACTGTAGGAACTGGATCTTGCTAAAATATTTGCTTCATTCAAAAATCAAACAGGCTCAGTGACGCTTCCTCCTGAAACGTGCCTCATTTTATTTCAGTAATGACACCACAGTCATGGTGGTCTGAAATTTTATACTCTGATGAAGAACCTTTAAAATTAGCAGGTTGAGATTTTGAATTTTTTCCAGTCATTTTAAGTTTTCGGTATAGACCCTCCCTGTCCACTTCCCATTACAGCTGGCCCTCCATATGCAAGGGTTCTATATATGGGGACTCAACCAACCACAAATCAAAAATATTCTTTTGGGAAAAATGTCACATTGTTGCTGACGTGTACCATGTCATTAGGCCAACCAGGGTCTAACCATGTACAGACTTTTTTTTCTTGTCATTATTCCCTAAACAATACAGTGTAACAACTATTTACACAGCATTTACATTGCATTAGGTCTTATAAGTAACCCAGAGATTATTTAAAGTATACAGTGGGATGTGCATGGGTCACATGCGACCACACTATTTTATAGAAGGGACTTGAGCATCTGTGGATTTGGGGGGGGAGGGGCGGGCATCCTGGAACCAACCCGACCCCACCCCCTGGGGATACCAAGGGACGACTGTATTTTCTTCTAAGGAATCAAGAAATTTCTTCCAAGGCCCTTCCTTTCTGAAAAGGAATAATTTTACAAGAGGCCGGCCATTTGTGTTTTCTTTCTGCCTCTCCAGCTACATGCAGGCTTCACAGTGTTTCCTGCTCAGAATCTTTACAGTGAGTCTGCACAGTGGCCCACGAGAGGAAGCCTCCCTCCCACTGTCCCACTGGATTATGGCTTTCAGAAGACTCCTCAAAAGGTGCCAACAAGAAACTCCCTTTAGAGCTAGGAGCAGAATGCAACTGCCAGTTTACGTGTGTTTTCGACTTCACTTCTACATTTCCATAGTCACTACTGTGCTTTTGCTTTCCAAGCTCTGAACTGACTAAAAAAGCAGCATTTTGCTATTAATATCTTCTAGCTCTTTTTCACTTTCAGAATTTATGCTTGTATCCTCCTCTTTATAAACATTCAGTAATTTTTTCTTAGCCGCAGCAGAAGCATTTCGATGGGGCAGTTTTCTGCTACTCTTCCTAATCCAGACATTTTCTGGTCCTGAAATCGTTTCCTTTAGATTACTCATTATCTTTATTTTATTTGCAGCAACAGTAGCACATCTGCGGGGAACTTTCTCAGGCACCATTTTTGTTTTCAGAGTTTCACTAGGCATTTGCACTGCATCCTTCTGATTATGCATACATGTTCTCACTTTTGTATGGGGTTCTCTGTCTCTAGGAACAAATTCTGAAAAGAGTGAAAGTTAATGTAAATGCAAAAACCTCATAACACAAGATCTTACATTCCTCAACAATACAGTCCTAAACAATAAATTGTAAAACGACTCGCATTGCTAAATAAAAAACATAAGTCATCATCATCAATGCCGCTACGCATTTTTGACTTGATATAAATTTCCATTTCCTTATCTACAAAAGGAAGTCTTGGATAGAAGCATAGTTTATAATCTGTGAGGATGACTGTCACTTAAAAGAGCAGCAGATTCATAAGAACGGGGCTAAGTACTTTCCAGCATCATAAAGCTAATCTAAAAGCACTTTTTAAAATCTGAATTTTTAAAATAGAACCTTACATAGATTTAAATTTCTTGATACCATTTCTAATACTTTGAGTCAGTAGTTCTAAAATAATTTTCCTAGAACCTAAACAAGGAAATGCCATCGTGACCACACTGACAGTGTCAGCTGTTTCAAGATCCTTAAGGTTTTAATTCCAACACCAACATCTCCCTTAGTCTAAAAAATTAAATTGTATATTGGTCTTATAAAATTGAAATGTGGTTTTAATCCTAGATCCATTTTTTTTTTCAAGTATTTGACCACTTTGTGTAAATGAAATTGTTCAATCCTAGTTTCACCATTATTCAGATATTTTGAGCTAGGTATGTGCCGGGCACAGAGAGGCTAAGATTCAAAAACAAACCACTTCTACACGTCAGTATAGCTGCTGTGAGAACATATTACAGAAACCTCGGCTAGGGGGCAAGGCAGGCTCCCTTTGAGGGAGCTAGAAAACTTGACGGGATCCACCAGACACGAGGTCTGACCAAAAGCCCTCGACAAAGGCAAGTCCTCAAGTGGCCTGAGGCGACTTGCCAGGGTCCTGCTCCCCAACACTGACCAGGTTGGTGGACCCAAAGCCGGATTTTCGCAAAAAGAATCGCTACGCCCCTAGGGCAGATGTTTCTTGAGAAAAATGCAACTGAGGCACATTAGCCCCTGCATGCTAGGCCTCTGCTGGCAGTTCAGTCTTGAAATCATTAAGAATTGAACCACCTGTCTTCAAAGTACACAAGCCCCGCTCTCGGCAGTCTACGAGGACAGGCCGTACATCAAGGGATAACCACACTTGACATCTATCTGGAGGACTCTCTTCCACTAGATCCGTTTCACTACTAAGGACTAGAAATAAGGGGTTTGGGTTTTTGTTGGGGTTTTGTTTTTTGTTTTGTCAGCTATCGAGTACGACTATTATTCTCTAGCGGTGAAAGTACCCACTACCGACATTACAAGTTTTTCCTTTTGTGAATGGAGATGTTCGCCCTCCATCATCAAGGGCAAATGAGTGCAAGTGAAAATGGCTTCTTTAGACTGACATACTCATTAGCAGGGCAAGAATTATGAGTCTTCTGCCCTCAAAAGGAAAGCCCTTCAGATTTTATCTCAAGTCTGTGAAACTCATTTCAAAGACGTGCCTGTGCTCTCTCCAAGACCCCAAAGGGTTCTCCCCCAAAAGGCTGGGAACCAGTTTACTAAAAGAAACCCCCCACTAATGCATCAGGCCCTTCTGCCAGTTATGTGATTCACGTGCTTTTCTACTGAAATTCTACTTCTAAAGATATCATGTTTTGTTCAATGTAAACATTGCAAAGTCACCTGGTATTGCAAAAATGGCATTTTAGCCGGCTTAAGCTGATCATGGCGACACCTCACGCAGCATAGTCACTCCCCTTATTTGGGCTCTAGGGAGTCACCTGCATATGAAGTTTGGGAGTGACTTAAAGTGCAATGTTTTCACCACTTCAGAGAATTTTTCCTTGGGAATTTTAAAATTACGAACATTAGTCTCTGCAAACCAACCCAAGATCCAAAGTCAATCTATAGCACATTACACCAGTGTTAGGCAAAAGGTGGTATATATGCTACAATAGGGAAAAGATTTTTTAAAATATGTAGAAAAATTAAGGTGAAATTTGTACGTATAAGGATATACTAGTATCACTCAACTAACTGCATCCATTTGCGTTTTTTAAAAGCATTAAAATTAGACAGTTGATCCATTTCCAACATATCCAGTTGAACAGAATAGATAAAATCCAACGACTAAACATTTTTGTGGGACAAATGATTTAAGCTGCGACAATTAATTCTCTTGTGATATACTGATCCAAGTACCCTATATTGCATTTAGAAACCTAATAAATGCTAACTCTAAAACATTTTACTGAATGGTTATTTGTAATTCAAAATAAGAGAAGACAGTTAAGATTGACAGAAGACACTCCAGGCTTTTAAAAAAAGGAAACTTGAACTTCAAATAAATATGTCCAGAAAGGGGAGAAAATGGGAAGAAATTATACTACGTATAGAAACTCCAACTTGATGAAACTATCTCTAAAGTCTTAGAACATAAAATGGGAATTTCATATAGAAACAGAATCTCAACGACTGTTGGGAATTCGAAAAAAATAATGCATACATGTAAGTCAGTGTTAATTTTATTACTGAGAACTTGATAAACTATAAAGTGCTTTATTCTCCTTGGAAAACTACAAACAGTTTTTAGAAACATATACAGAATTCACGGTCAGAGAGAAGTCCAATTTACGTTAGTATACAAGCTTCAAAATTTTGGAGGCTGCTACTCTAACGATACATTTGCGATATCATTTAATACTAACAAGTCAGTACAATACCGCAAGTCCTACTGTCCCGGATGGACTTGGGTCAGTTATGTGTTGGAAGTGACTGAGTGATTGAGGCATTGTGGCTTTCCTATAAATGATTACATATTTGGGTATGGCAAAAACCACAGCAGTAGAAAATTTCCATGTGTAGTAGTACTAGATCAGTTTACCTAGATGATCACTTTAAATTGTAACTCACAGATCACTGTATTCTAAGATGGTCTGTGAACAGAAACTTGGATGCAGACATTACTTCGACTGGAAGCAGTAGTCTCTAGTTTCTATATTTTAAGGATTATTCATATCCCAATTATGATACTGATATATTATTTTTCTAAATCCAAAGTACACCACACACCACTGCTGCAGAAGCATAAAGAATTTTAATCCCAACAGCCTTTTAATTGGCATATTAAAAACAAACGAGAATGAGAGAAAAACGTCTGAATCAAAATGAAAATACACTAGCCTATTTCATATACTTTTTAAGCACTGATGTTACTGATCAGTGTTAAATCACTTTCATAACAGGGGGAAACCTTAGCTGCAGATCACCCTCTCTCAAGCGAGCCTCTATCAGAGCTGATTTAAGATGTTCTTTATTGTCTGCCCTTCACTGATAAGCAATGAAATGACCAAAACTCAGGAAGCAAATAGCATTTATCACTGATATTCATCCCCCCTAAAGCGTAAGTTTCCAAAAGGATCCCCTCAACTAAACAGTCTCTTTAGAAAATGGCTGTAGGTCAAAGTATTTTCTGTTACTCTCTAGACTCAACGTTTTACTCTTTTCTAGAAGTTGTTGGCAACACTGAGAATCAACTTCCACAGTATGGCAGCGTCAGGCCAAGAAATTGTCAGAAAGAACTCTGTAGTCTAGGGTCGTTCTTTACTACTTTGGTCACTTTCATGGTTGACAGATGAACGCAGCCATCTGTTAAGTCTTCAGTACACAGCGAGGGCACCACGGAACCTTGACTTGTTTTGTTTCCCACCTACAGTCCATCTACAGCTTCCTCTCATCCCTGAAAGTTAACCGGTAACATTCTCACGATTCTCACGAGATGTGTGATGACTATTACAACTTTTTTCTAAAAATCTGATGAAAATTTTATAAAGTGTGAAAGGGATCTTACAGCTCATCTGCTTAATGAACTTTTGAAGCAACATCTCAGAGCACCGCAGACTGACGCAGGCAGTGTACGTTACCGAGGGGACTGCTAAGTTTCCAAACTCCTTAATCACTTCACTAATGAACAGCAGCGGGTCACAGACAACCCAGTGACAGTCACCTGTGCAAGTCTCATGGATCCCTGCAGCTGCCCCACCTCACCCAGCTCGTGGCCCGCATTCTGCCCGCATGAGGAACATCACAGTGGACAGAGGTTAGGAAGCTGGCTGCTTAAGAGATAAAGATGAGCTACAAGGAATACCAACCACATGTACAGACCTTGAAGAATTAACCAGCTAGGACGCTTATAGTTAATTAAAAAAAAAAAAAAAGCCTTACTAAATTTATTGTACTACTATTTTAGTTAGTAACTGACTGAAAAACTGGTTTCTAGGTGAAAATGCTAAGACTTAGATGTGGTAATGAGTTAATTTGAAAGTTAAAGCAGAGATCTTGTGTGGGAGTAGAAAATTAAAGAGTTGCCTCCGACAAGTTTCCAGGAAAATGGTTAGAATTTTACAGGTGAACTGGATACGTACAGTCCAAGGGCTAAGTATGGATCAACAGTTAGAAAATTAACTTCAATATATTAAATAAATAAAGATTCCTTTCACATTTAACCACTGACTAAAAAGGGTAATAGTTTCTAAATATTTTCCTTGTGGAATCAACGTTAGGGAGAGCTAGCTGCTGCGGTCGAAAGTCTGTAAGTGGCCATCTCATTTCAATTAGGTCAGTAAGAATGTCCCTGTCTCTTTAGCAGTCCAAATTCTCATTAAAGGTTTTAATAAATGATAAAACTTACCTTAAAATTAACTTAAAAACTAAAGTATGACCAGAAAATAATCTGTAATACTGAGAATTATATTAAATGAAACTATTAGTCTTGACAAATAGACATACAATCTATAGTTAATTACATGCTGCCAAAGATGGAGCCTGCAAATTCGTAGGGCTGAAACGGACTGCCCTGCCCCTCCCCAACCTCCTTCCATCAAACCCGTAAGAGCAACCAAGTAAGAGTCTTAGTATTTTTCTACCGCATTAACAATACATTGGGAACAAGTTTGGCAGAATGAGTGACTGGAAAAAATCCCCCTTAAAAAGCTTTGAGGATTCCCGTGTATCCTTAGGCAACATCTATAATTTAAGAAAATACCTATAAAAATACTCTTTAAAAATGTGAGAAGAAACAACGCAGCCTTCATTAAAACATTCTTTACACTTTGATCCTTTCCATTAATTCACTATTTGAGCTACAAGTAGGATTAGCATTTACTAATCTAGCTGGACTAGATTTTTCCACAATGCTCCATTTTCTCCTAACTTTGACAAATTTGTTTGGTCTTTCTGTTCTGAAATACTAAAATAAGAGACAATCTTTAAACTCTTAAATTGCAAATTTCCTAGGGTTTCTGCTTTATCATTCCCTGATATCCACAGAAGTGAGAGGTATAAATTAACAAACGAAAATCTCTTCTACAATGAAGGTGCTTTGTTGTACTCCATCATACTAGAATCACTGAACTGTAATTTCCATACAATGTAAGAAAACTAAAGTACTGGTGGCAGCCACAAGGTACCTGAAAAAGTAAGTATACTGACTTATTGATGAAAAGAGTAGAGATTAGGTATTTCCACTATAATACAGGGCAAGGCAAAAAGACCTTTTCTAGCTATTTAAAAGTTACTCGAAAAATCAACACAATTGCGTAGAAGGGGAAAGCAAAAATACTGTATGCAACTTTAACAATGTTCTTGCATTCTGATATACAAACCTCTCATTTTTTTTTCAGGCAGTACGATCAAATTTAATTTGTACCAACGGAAGAGAATAAAATCTTTTTCAGTTTAGTTTTTAGTATGATAGAGTAAAATTAATTTTGTGTTCTAATTATTTCTAAATAAAAAAAAAAAGGCTACAAGAGACAGGGAGTGTAGTATGGACCCGGTGTTATTCTAAATAAGAATCTGTATTAAGATGTAATCAACCAATGGAGTGTGAAAGATCTTTTTGGATCAGTAGTACGCTCAGGTGGTGTTTTTGTTGGTTTCTGTCTTTTTCCATTTGCACTTCTATGTTTTGAAGGGCCTTTTCCTAAAACAAGTCCTTTCCCCCCCACCATTTCCTTATCATAAAACGAATTTCCTTTTCAGGTATGACTCTCTGCTATTTAAAAGAAACTTGTGTTTTAACTTAGAAGCTGTAACTGCTTTATCATCCTTTCCAAGGATTACTAAATTGAGAAAGGATTTAATCAGAGATTTTCCTCTAAGAAAGGGAGAACCACCACCCTAGGAATTATCTGAAAATGGGATAAACTTTTCCTTTTATTTAGAAGTTAATACACATTGTCAGTATACCCCTTTTAAATAAGTAGGATATGAAAAAAAAAATGCTCTTAAAACCTCACCTAGTTTCTAATATTTGAAATATTTTTTCTTAATATGCTTGGTAAATTAGTCTTTCAAAGAGATCAAAAATCAAATCTGAATACCTCAAACCTTTTTTTAAACCATAAGTGAATAAAATCATAGGACTTTAGACATACACAATCACAGCAGTCTTTTTTTCCCATACACCATTAAGTTACTTCAAGTGCAGTGGAAAGCCTCAGCACTTATTTCTGGATCAGTTCACATTCAATTTGTAATCTTTCATATTTTCTCACCAAGAAAAATACAAACTGATCTCAAACATATTAAAGTACATCTGTGCATTAAATCCCTGCGCATTTTGTGTGAAGTAGAAAAAAAGTCAAACGTTCTAGTGCTCAATGTAAACATTTTGAACTATTAATTATTTATTAATTTTTCTTAAAGTATTTAGGAGTGCGTGTGTCACATATTCAAAGTTAACCTTAGGAATAGCACCACAACCAAAAAAACCCATAAAAATGTTTCTCTAATTCCTTAGTTTTATTTCAGAACTTGAAAAGCTACCATTGTCACGTGCTTTCAATGTCACCAGGCCAATTCTTGTTTTTTTCCAGATGAAACCAGAATACTCCTTCTATAAACAAGGGTCTCACCATTTTGGACAAAATTAAAAATTAGCAATTAGTTGACCAGCCAATCAATAACTAGTTAATCCAGTCCAAAAGATAAGAACAGTTCTACTGATGAAGCCTAAATGGTTAAAGTTATCATTTACCAAAAGAATTTCCATACTTATAAATGTATTCCAAACTTATTTATGGATTTTTTTGGTACCTTTTTGCAAATGATGGTAAACATGGAGTTATAACCCTGAGAAGAAATATAAAACGGAGAAGCTTAAGAAGAATTTAAATAAATTAATGGATATGACATCTATCACCATTTCTTAAATTTAGGGAAGTAAAGAGCATTCCATTAACTTTTTTCGGGTCCATAGTCAAGGATAATTACCCTGCATCGAACTGTCTCCCATACACTTAATACAAGCTTTGAGAAGAGCATCACAGTCTGAAGTGGTGATGGCTCTCAGCCACCTCTCCAAGGAGAAGCAGGTATCCCACCTATCTCAGTTGGTCAGGTCTAAAAATATCCTTCCCTTTACATCAGGGAAGTAAATACCTTCTACCATGTCAAACAGAGTAGATAATTAAAAAGTAACAACACTTAGAAACATTCTCTAACTCTGATACCAGAGTCTGATGCTTTTCTGTATCTGCTACCTTAAGGATACACAGGAGTAAAACATTAATTTTATGTGAAACCAGATAGTTAGGGCCAATAAATAATAAAGGTGGGAGTACTGTAACATACCCCTTAGCTACAAAATATGTAAACCATTGGAATCAAGTCCATCTTCAGGCACAAACAAGCTAGGAATGGGTACCTACACTGTTTGAGTAGCACAGCCTATCAAGTAAAAATATTTGGCTCGAAAAAATAAGTGTACTATGGTACTTGATGATGTGAAGTTTTGATTTAAATGGATTCCGAAATTATTTTCCCACAAAACATGACAAGGTTCTTAAATTTAAACTAGAGGTCACTAATAAAGATACACTTAGTTGCCCCAGCAAAGGATGTTTGGGATTGCACATGGCAGGAGTAAGCTAAAACAAAGAGATGGAGAATAACATTTAACTATTTTCCTACAAAGATGAGATGTGATTGCACACCTAACAAAACTCAACCCTACAATTTCAATAGAAATGGAGGGAACTACATATAATTTAAATACTCTTCTAGTTCTGTACACTCTATCGAAGAACAAACTTTTCCTAAATCTAAGGCACACAAACTCCTCTATTTCACAGAGTAAGACTATGGAAGACCAAGAGTTTGGTTAAACCCCCTTACATGGAAACCAGGAGATGTTGGAAAGAAATTATATAGCATTTCGTTAGTGCACAACTTAAAAGAAAATGTTAGGACTATGGTCTGGCCTTAGAGGTTTAAAATATACAATCAAAATGTTAAAAAAAAATAATAATTTACCAGCACTTTATAAATTCAAGTTTATAAAATAAAAGTGATGATATTTTCCTTAAAAATAAAGAGAGACAGAGAAAGACAGACACCCAACAGCATTTGGAAAGAAAAGTGGGAACAATTTCAATAAAAATGACCACATCTAGTATAATGCATTCTACTCAAGTAGCCAGGGGAAGAAAAAAAAGTGGTAGGTACCTTGCCCATTAATCATGGTCACACCTCCCATGATTGCAATGTTTATGAAGAATTTGTAAACATAGGTCATGTGAAATTGTTACACTATAACAGGACAGGGGTTAGAAACTACCACCTCTTGATGAATTCAGAAAATAACTGCATGGCACTTGCTACCATGAAAGTAATGCTCATTGGTTTTGATAACCAGGATGTCTAGTGTTTAACATATTTCAAACTCTTGCTATATGTAGTTAAATACTGTCGAAGTAGATCTGCCCCCAAAACGAAGCATATTTTGGCACCTGTGCTGAATGCTGCTACAAAGGCAAGCAAGTGCAAATAAAAATAACAGTCATGATTTAGTCACATTCATAACTTTTCATAGAAAAATATAAATATATTCCCTGAATTGTAGGACAAAAAAAAATAATAATAATTTCAACAGCCAACTTTCACCATAAATTCCAGTCCACTTCCTCTTTAAATGAACTGGTTTTCCCTCAAGGTCATAAGGTGCAATCATCAAAATCTAACACGTTTTCTAGGCTTCTGTCATCATCCCCATCATGGTACCTCACGGTCCTTCTACCCTGATTTCTCGTTTTTATTTTTGAACGTCGGAGAACTCTCTTAGACTTTGCATAGTCCACATCCTCCCAGTCATTATCATCCACATTGAGCCTAGGACGTTTGCTCTGCCTTTGTCGCCTCACGGTCTTAGATAGGTTAGCTGTAAAAGTTTTACCTTTTCTAACTACTTTTGCTTTTCCTTTTGTTTTCCTCTTTTTAGTTTTTGTCTCATCAGCACAGTCAACATCGGATTCGGCTACAGATGCCAAATCTGAGTCAGATCTGGGACTAGTGTCAGGTCCGCACTTTGAATTCCCCGTTGTTTCCAAATTTTTCGCATTTTCCAGTTCAGGATGCAGTCTCTTCCTTTTCATTTCCACCTTGGCGGCTTCCCGCGAGTCATGAACCACTTCTGTCTCACTGAAGGGCGCCTTCCCATAGGTCCTGAGTCTTCTGCCATTCCACCTGCGCAGCCCGTAACTCAGTTCCTCTTCGAAATTATTCTCTGCTTTTTGCGCCAAAGTTGACTCAGAAGACAATTTTCTACCAATCTCATCCCCTGGAATATGGCTTTTTGAATCATCCTCTGAAGACCCAATCAAGGAATTCTTTGTTCTAGAAGGTGCGACACGTGTTTTGTGATTATCAGTATGCCTGGTAGGCCTGCCCTTCTGTTCTGAATCCGACACACCTTCAGAGTCTGAGTCCTCATTTAAAGACCGAGTAATGCTTTTCGTACTACCTTCTGAGTCAGCTTCAGGTGGCTTCTCATCACAGGCATTCTGCTCATTTGGCACTTCACAGTTTACATCCCCCTCAGAATCACTCGCAATCTTCTTAGCTGTGGTACATGCAAAACGGAGGGGCTTTTTCCTTCCATCTTTGCTTCTCGTACACACATTTTCTAAGCTAACATCTTCCACATCACTCATGAGCTTAATTTTACTGGCAGCAGTGGTTGCACATCTTCGAGGCATCCTCGCGAGGCCCGCTTTGGCTTTTGATGATTTCTTAGCCACCTTTGAATTGCTGTCTGAGTCACTGGAACAGACCCTCTTCCTAGGAACTTTTCTGCTTTGTCCATGGTCTTGTGATGGAGAATCTAAAAATTAAGAGTATTCCTTTAATCTTTAATAGAAAAGGATAAAGGAATTAAATTTTCAACATTTTAAACACCTTCAGTCCAGAATTCTTCATTCTTATTAACTTGGAAGGAAGATGACAGTGAGTGGCAGGGGCTCTTAATACTTAGAGCAGAGACTTCTGTAGCCTCAGCACCATTCACAAGTATGACACATTCCCATCAATAACACCCCATCCCTTTCTATTTACATACACAAAAACACTTGACACTAAAATATTTTATTTACATGAATATAGACTAAAACCTCTTTACCACTGCACTAAGGTATAAAAACTAATCGCTTACTCTCAGCCTCCTTGAAACTGCTGTTACCTTCACAAGTTCAAATCATACCAGCTGCTTTCAGTCTTAGCTTTAGCTCCTCCTGCTCTGATATTTTTCATCAATCCCCGTTTACCAGGGGTACGATCTTACTTCAGCAAGTTATTCCACCTCTCCATGCTCCAGTTATCGGTAAAATGGACAACAACGACAGGACCTAGCTCATAAAAGATACGAAGACTATACTGATTAATAAACATAAAGCATGTAGAAAAACTTCATGATGCACAGAAACAGTGCAGTAACTGTCCTATTAGTTGCTATCATTATTACTTATCACATCCCTTTCAACCACTGCTACCCTTTTCTTTACTAGAAATAGTAAATCTTTACTAGAAATAGTTAATGAAATGAAATCTTTACTAGAAATAGTTAAGGCCAAGATCGCCTGCTACGTGAATAAAACTAAATATACTCAAAAAACAGTTACGCATGCATAGAGAAATGTAAGGGATGCACGGAAAAGACAAATGGGGAGGGATGGGAAGAAAATCGCTGGCAAAGAGAAGTTTCATGGGAAAGAAAAAGAAAAACAAGGTATGCTACAAGCAGAGAAGGATAATGAGAATAAATCAGTGACATGCTTTGAATTACCTTTCATAAAATTGTTGGGTTTTTCTTTTGTTTTGTCTTCATCTGAATCCGAATCTGTTTCAGACACATGATCTGAGAAACATTGGGACCCAGTAATAGGTTCACACTTCAAATTTCCTAAAATCAGGTTTGTTTCCTTGTGACATCTGCCATCTTCTCTATCTTCTTCAGATTCAGAGTCCTCTGAATCACTGAAGATCTTTGCTTTTTTAAGGAAAGCAGCATTCTTGCGACCCATGTTGTATTTCCTACCAACATATCTCGTTGGTTCAGAATCTGCTTCCTCCTCCTCTTCCTCTGAGATGCTTTCTGCCTTAAGTTTCTGCCCAGACGTTGACGGACCAGCAGTTCTGTTAAGTCCATTATCTGAACCATGACTTTTAGAGTCTTCCTCAGAAGACTCTATTTTAAGAAATTTTGTTTTAGAAGTTGCTGGAGTATGAGACTTGTAACCGTTAGCATGCCAACTTTTCCGGACTACCTGCAAATCACTTTCTGACTCTGATTCTCCGTTTTCAGAGCCATTGACAGCATTCTGGGCAGCATGAGAACTGGACTCTGGTGATGGTTGATTTTGGTCTTTTGGCTCCTCTTCTTCAATTTCTGACTTTAAGCTTTGATCATCTTCAGAATTATGCAGCAACTTTTTTCTAGCTACAGCAGAAGCATTGCGGTGAGGCAGCTTACGACCAGAGCAGATGCTGTCGGAGCTAGAGTTCTCCTCTGCATCGCTCATGAGCTTTATCTTGCTGGCAGCCACGGCAGCACACCTTCGCAGCACCTTCCGGTTGTTTCCAGCCCGCACCTTTGGGCTTTCGCCAGTCTCCAGCGAATTATTATCGGAGTCACTTAAGTAGACTCTCTTTCGGGTGGCTTTTCTGCCGCATCCATTTTCTAAAGAAACTGAACCTGGAAATAAAGTAACAATAAAATTAGAAAGATCTTTCTTATTGCAACAATTTTTTAATGCCTTTATTATGTCAGTACTGATGTTCCGCATTTTTTACTGCCAAACTAAGTTCCTTTCTAAATGTAAATGGCCTAACGGGTGAAACAGAATAGAGAGCCAAGAAATAAACCCATGCACATATGATCAGTTTATGACAAAGAAGGCGAGGATACACAGTAAGGAAAGAACAAACTCTTCGATAAATGGTGTTGGGAAAACTGGACAGATTCATGCAAAAGAATGAAACTAGACTACTATCTTACACCACACACAAAATTAACTAAAAATGGATTAAGCACTTGAATGTTAAAACCTGAAACCATAAAGCCTAGAAGAAAACACAGGAAGTAAAGCTCCTTGACACTGGGCTTGGCGATGACTATTTGGACCTGACTCCAAAAGCAAAGGCAATACAAGCACAAATAAACAGGTGGGACTAAATCATCAAACTAAAAGGCTCTGCACAGCAAAGAAAATCATCAACAAAATGAAAAGGCAACCTATGTATGGGAGAAAATATCTGCAGATCATGTATCTGATAAGGGGTTAATATCCAAAATATAGAAAGAACTTATACAACTCAATAGCAAAACAAAAAACAAAAAACAACAACAAAAAAAATCCAATTAAAATACGGGCAGAGGATCTGAATAGACATTTTTCCAAAGAAGACATACAGATGGCCAAAAAGGCACATGAAAAGATGTTCAACATCACTAATCATCAGGAGAATGCAAGTCAAAACCACAATGAGATATCACCTCATACCTGTTAGAATGGCCACCATCAAAAAGAAATAACAAGTGTTGGCGAGGACGTGAAGCAAAGGAAATCCTTGTGCACTGCTGGTGGGAATGTAAATCAGTGCAGCCACTATGGCAAACAGTACAGAGGTTACTCAAAAAATTAACACTAGAACTACCATATGATCCAGCTATGCCACTTTTGGGTATTTAGCTGCAAAAAATGAAAACAATTCCAAAAGATCTATGCACTCCCATGTTAGCTACAGCATTAGTTACAATAACCAAGATAAGGAAACAAGAAAAGTGTCCATCAGTAGATGAATGGATAAACAAGATGTGGAGTATACACACAATGGAATACTATTCAGCATAAGAATGAAATCTTGCCATTTCCAACAACATGAAGGGACATGAAGGGCATTATGCTAAGTGAAATAAGAGAAAAACAAACACCATATGATCTCACTCATAGGTGGAATCTAAACAACAAATAAAACCAAGCTCACAGATACAGAGAACACACTGGCGATTGCCAGAGGCTGGTGAAAGGCGGGAGAAATGGGTGGAGGGGCCAAAAGGCATAAACTTCCAGTTTTAAAATAAATCAAGGGGGTGTAATACATAGCATGGTGACTATAGTCAACACTGTTGCATATTTGCAGGCTGCTAAGAAAGTCTTAAAAGTTCTCATCATAAGAAAAAAATAAATTTTTATAACTATATATAGTGATGGATGATAACTAGACTGTGGTCATTTTACAATGTATACAAATATCAAATCATTATATTGTACACCTAAAATAATATAATGTTCTATGTCAATTACAGCTCAATTTTGTAAAAAGGCCTAAAGGACACTTAATCATATGTAGATGCACTGCATCAACAAGCCAGTCAATGTTTAGCTTTTGGGTGCTCCTGCACACTCCTCCAAAGCACCACTGAGGGCCTCTTACCGGTCCTCCTTTGAGCAGCTCTGGTTCTAGTCACCCTCAGGTTGCTGCTTCTGGCCAGCCTACCACGTACGGAGGATTCACGAGCTCTTGGACTCTCTTTGCTTTCCTCAGAACTATGTGAAGCTGAAGATGATGAAGATGTACCTAAGGAATCTTCTATTTCACTTTCTAAGGAAAATAAAGTATCAACAGTTCATTACATATATTTCCTATATTTAAACACATACGCATATATTCCATAACTTAAAGCAGATTCCTAAAATAGTTATTGTCTGATAAAATTTTGGTATTCAAAAAAACATAATCAGTATTCCAAATCAAATTTGTTCTCTTATTTCTGAAAGCAACATATTAATCCTAGTTTGGATTCAGAAAATACAGTTCATATATTTAATAAACAAACTTTCATTTAAAAATTTAATTAGCCCCATTATCTACTTCCATTATATAAAACAGGTATTTCCTATAGAGAAAACACTTCAAGTCTAGCATTTCAATAGACGTATTTTTAAGTCTCTCTCTAGTTGCCCTTCCTAACAGCATAGTTGTACCATACATGCTTTCAGCTCAAGAAAGGTCATCTCTACAAGCTTATTTAAAAAAAAAGAAAGAAAGAATAATTTAAATAGTAGAGGACAGGACACATCCCAATACCCCGTAAATGAGTGCATGTCCCATGTAAGCACAAGACAGGAAACCCAAATTTCCTGTTCCTTCATCCAGACTTACTTCTTACATGCCTTTATAGAATGAAAACGTCTTCAAAATGAGCGGGAACATTGTTAAAAGGCAAAATTTTACTCCATAACAAAACCCAACTCCATGTCACAGAATAGAGTGGCTGTGATAGGAAAGTATCAGTCGCCAAACTGTTTCTTCTTTTGAAATTGCTATTTCTCCACTTTGAACTGTTCCTACTCTCTATTCCACTACCTGACACACCAACTGTTTCCAGATTCGACCCCTTCTCTGCAAATCACTGCCAACCTGATCAATCTTCCTGAAACAGAATTCCAGCATGCGACTCCCTTACTTAACAAGGGACCCAATCAAGCATTCCAAACACCTCTGCTGCACGGCCTGCCAGCCTCTAGAACGTGGCTGCATTCTATCTGTTTGATCCGTAACTTTAAGTTACAGCTGTAGCATACTACCATCACAAGTCAGCAAAATCACTCAGAGCAATGCACAGAAACACCACAGCCTCAGTCGCACAATGCTAACGAAGGATTAGCATCCGCTAGTTATACTACTACACGGCAATAACAAAAACAGGTTATAATTTATTAGGTCATCAGCTTTAAACTTACATTAGTTCCGTGACTTTAACTTAAAAGAAATACAAAAATGTCACACTTTACACACACAGTGTGATATTTATATCACATTATTTAAAATATGGAGGATTCAAATTTGCATAAAATGTGGCCGCACCATTTGCAAAGAACAGTACTTATCAAACATATTTCTAACTGTTCCATGTATATTACTTTTGACTCTTACATGGAATGTTAAGTTCCTTCAGTGTGAAGATCATGTCTTATTTATTCCTGCTTCTAAACCCAGAGCAACTAGCAGCGTCATACTCATGAGTGCTCAACAGTTGATAAACATAATGTTCTACTTCTCACCAGATAATGTTGAACCATTTGTTATGGTGACAGGTCTATTTCTTCTCGTTCTTTCTGATGATCCTGCAGAATCTGAAGAGTCACCAGAAGTAACACCCGAAGAGACACTAGCACTTGTCTTGCGACCTGCAGAGTAAGCTGCCCGACTTGAGGTAGACTGGGCAGGAGAACCTGCTGACTCGGGAATTACCCTTGTCTGAGACTTTACACGCTTCTGCTTGATATTTCTGGTCAAAGATATGAACAAAGGAAACATATTTAATAAAACAGAAAATGCCTAAATAAAAGTAAGTGTATCATTACTTAATCTGAGAATAATTTTAGATCAAAACATTAAAATATTCATTATTAACATCTTATTCTGGCATAGATTACTATTACTATTTTCTTACTTTAAATTTGACATCAATTATTATAAATTGGAGTAATAAACAAATGATCCAAGTAACAGAGTTACAAAAATCATATTGAATATCTTAGGTTCTTTGGACTAAATGCTAAGGGAGCCAACATCTACATAATATGAGCATTTCCACATTATGAATCTGAGTCTCAATAAGGCCCAACGTTCTCTCTAGTCTATTTATATGTCTCTAAATGTAGTATGAAATTAAGAGGAAGGAATCAACAAAACCTGAACAGAAAGAACAGAGAGGTAAAAAAGAGATCAGAACAAGCTATTTTTTTCCTAAGACCAAACTGTTTTCGTCTAAGTGCTAGTTCACCACATTTGGCCCCTGAGCCATGAATTATGGGGGGAAATCATGGAACTTTGATTTACAATATAGATCTGGGTAATGTTCGTGTGGAAGATAATCCTTTTTTTCCTTTATAACAAAAGATAAATGAGCTTTTAGTATCTATGGTGTTTGGGCTAAAAGATAACCACCATTCTTTAAATCAGTAATTGTTTATGTCAGATCAAAAGTTTAACCTCCATTACTATCTACTGGAGGGTAACCAAAAAATACAAAAAGATAATTACATGCTTAAACCTGTCATAAGCCTAGTTTTTAACAGTAAACAAGGTCATAACACCTCAAGAGTGAAAACTCTCCCTTTTTTCCTAGATTCTTCTGAACCGTTAGATTCTTGGTTTGAGAAAAACTAGTTTTTAAAAATACTTAAAAATTTTTAAAACTCAATACAATAACAAACCCAAACTGAGGGTCATTTTGTAAAATAAATGACCCATAGTCTTTAAAAATGTCAATCAAAAAGACTATGAAAATAAAATTCCAAAAAAATGCACGATCTAGGTTAGAGAAAAAAAATTTGCCCTAAGAACATTATTGAGTCAACTACAAAAATACACATCAGGTGCAGTTAGAACCTTGTTCCTAGAAAATCTACACTAAGTATTTAGGGGGAAAGGTGTATGATGGCAAAAATATTTTTGAATGATTTCAAAGAAAAAAAAATTAACAGAATGTTAAAGCAAAAATAAAGTAACTGTGGCATAATGTGAGCAACTGGTGAATCCAAGTAAAGAGTATGCAGGAGTTCTTTGAATTATTTTTCAACTTTTCTGTAATTGTGAAAATATTTCGAAATGAAAAGTTAGGAAAAAGAGACGGGAGAGGACGCCATCGTACTGTGTAATGTATGTACTTGAATTACAGGTTGCAAAGCAGCTGAACAGGTCATTCACCTAATGTGTATGTTCATCTGTTTCAATGAGGTTTGTTATTCTAAACATGGGGCAGGGAGGCAAATGAGGACTTCAGCAAATCATCTCACCCAAAAAGCAAAAATAAGACTGGCAACATAATCCAAAACAACCATTTCAGACTCCGGAAAGTAATTAAAGGCACCCGGCAAATTAAAAAGTGTTTAAGAGAAACTTCTAACTCTAAGTAAAAACAGTGGCATCTTTGGCATTTTGTCTTAGGGATGCTCCCCGTCACATACACACACCCCGATTCTATGGCACGACAGCCCTGAGGATCAGGATTAGCAGGTGGAGAGCAAGGACCTGACAGGGAGCTCCACAGAAAAGATGTGTGCCCAGGAGCACTGAAAACACTGCTGGCAATTATAATGGGTTTCATCAAGAAAGGAATTGAGCCAGAGATTTAAGAGAAGAGATTGAGAGAATAAGACAACCCGTAGGAGTCTGAAACATTTTCCTGGGGGATGTGGAAGGTTCCATACATATTCAAGAAAGACTGGAGAGAACCCAGTTATTACTCGGCCTTGGCTGACCCTGAAACTCTGTGCCTAGTAAAATATAAGCAAAAAATGAAGTCTGCCCCTACCTCACACACAGATGCCCTTCAGAAAATGGTGGAAGCCTTACCCAAGATGTTTAAGCACAAATTTCTGACCACTGAGCTATGCTGAGCCAAGGAAGGCAGCTGAAAAACAGGCTGGATTTTTTTTTTGTTTTTTGTTTTTTTTTAATTTTCAGCAGAGACTTCAGTGACCAAACACTGCAGGGAAGACAGACTCTACAGAAGCTGGTCTAATCAGTTCACTAAACGACATCGGCAATAACCTCCACCACCGAGGGAAGAGCACCAGAATCCAGAGGTGCTACGATATGTTAACATCAGAAGCCGGGGCAGTTAAGATTCCCAATGTTGCCACCGTATATTATTAAGTATGTTCAGTTTAACAAAAAATTAAGAGATATACAAAGAAACAGGAAAATTTGTCCATATACAGGAAAAAATGCAATCAATAGAAACTGTTCCTGAGAGGACCCAGATTGTTAAAATCAGAGACAAGCCTTGAAAATTCTCTAAGCAGACAAAATCTGTTAAGTCATACAAATAAGGCTTAATTTAGCTTATTACACAAGACTAACCTGACCTGGGTCATTTCTTGCTTATGCTCTGGAAATCATAAGCAAAACTTGAACTGTTTCCCATGGCTGACTGACATAAGGTAACCACTGAAAATTCTAATTTCAGATGCACAGTGTAAAATTCTCATTAGAATTAGAAAATTCTAATTCTAAAACCAATCACTGTGAAAAACAGCCACCACTTTCATACTACATAAGCTGTTTTGTAACAACATACCTCTAAGTCATGTTTTAGTCTGAGTGCTCCAGGTTTACAAGTGTCTTTAGCCGTTTAAAATAAACTTTTACTAAGTACTACTTCGGTGATTCATTGGTTTTATTTATAAACTTTTGACAAGATATTTAAGTCAATTACAAATATGACTGAAGAACTAAATAAACTCATGTCTACAGAATTAAAGGAAATTATGATATCAGAGGATATCAGTAAAGGGACAGAATTATAAAAAACAACAAACCAAAACAGAAATTCTGCAGTTTAAAAGTAAAACTGAAATAAATATTCACGAGATGGGCCCAAAGGCAGATTTGAGCTGGTACAAAAATCGGTATTTGAAAGTCGGTCAGTCAATAAAAATTCCAGTCTGAGGAACAGAAAGGGAAAAAAATTTAATAATAACAGAGCATCAGAGATCTGTGAGAGCCCATTAATCATATCAGAATATGTATAATGGATACTCCAGGAGAAGAAAAAGGCAGGGAAAAAAAATACTAAAAGAATTAATCGCTGAAAACCACCCAAACTTGATGAAAAACATTACACATCCATAAAGCTAGACAAATCCAAGGAGGATAAACTCAAAGAAATCCACACCTACACGCATATTTAGTTGCCAGGTAAAGACAAAGAAAATTGTGAAAGCAGCAAGAGAAAAACAACTCTATATGTACAAGGGAGAGGACCTCAATAAAATTAATAGCTAACTTCTCATCAGAAACAATGGAGGCCAGAGGGCAGTGGAATGAAATATTCAAAATACTGAAAGAAAAACACTGTTAACTAAGAATTCTAGATCCAGCAAAACCAGTCTTAAATACTGAATGTGAAATTAAGACATTCCCAGATAAACAAAGACTAACAGAATTGCTAGCACATCTACCTTACAAGGTATACTAAAGGACTTCAGGCTGAAAAGAAATGACACCAGAGGGTAACTCAAAACCAGAAGAAGAAATAAAGACCACTGGAAAAGGTAATTATGTAGGCAAATATAAGTAACAGTATAAATGGTTTTCTTAACTAATTTAAAAGACAACTGCATAAAACATAACATTTAAAGCTATAATCTGTATGACAATAATAGCATAAGTAAGGGGGGTAGAGAACTAAACTACAACATAGTTATATCTATGGGGATTAAATAGTATTAATCCCAAGTAGAAAAAATTGAGATGTATAGTGTCATCCCAAGAACAACTATGAAGAAACCCACATTCAAAGTGTACATAGAAACAAACTAAACACTGAATAACTCAATTTTCACATTCCAATATTTTAAAATACCTGTAAGTTTAATATTAATATAAGCTACATAGTCAAAGAAGACAGAATATAAATTAATATTCAATTACTGATAATAAGAGAATAAATCCTGCATTTTATATTTCTTCTTTACAACTAATTCTCAGTAAAAATAATGGTACATATACCTAATGGACATTTTCTCATACCCAATCAAATGCTCAATGGCAGTACATAGTAATCACTTTATTCTGCGCATTAAAAAAGTTTCTTATGCAAAAAGTGATTCTTTAATCCTTTATAAACTTTTTTAAATTGATGATTTTCATTAAATGCTTATAAATTTATGTAATTCCAAATCAACACAACGGCTCTAAACACACAGAATGCTTTCAAGCCAAACAAAAAAATAACTATTCTTTTCTGGATATACTGTACTCTAAAATGATTAAAGTTTTTTAACATAATAAAATCAAAGGTTTTATCACAACCTGAAAATTTTACAAAACTGCATACAAAGCCTGCAATAACCAATTTACCTGATACTTTTGTTAGCCTGGTTAACACGGTTACAATTTTGCCGTCTCTTAAACCTTTGGCTTCTTCGAAGTTTTTCATTGAATTTTTGACCAATTTTAAAATCAGAGGAGATTTTCTTCATTTTTTCTTCAAATAAGGCAGACAATCTCAAGGTCATACTATAAATCTGCAAGGATATGAAAACAAAACTATAACCACAAAATATCTTTTAAAATATTTTTCCAAAAAAGACTGCAATCACTGAAGCTACTTGCAACCTATTATATCACTGTTACAGATAATGGCTGTTACTTAACTTCCCGCACCTCTTTGCTTCAGTGACTTCTGCAAGAAACAGGAAACATCTTGGCTGCTCCCATTTTCACATCTACATGTACAGACCCCCAAAATGTCCCTTTTTCCTAAAGTTGGTTGGACTGCTACTTCAGCAGCGAAAGAGCAGTGTCGCCTTGGGCAGGAAAACACAGCACTTTTACAATAGTCTCAACTTGCAGTTTTACTGCCTTGATGCCTGTAGATCTAAATTTGAATTGCAGAGAAAAGGATACCTTGCATCATCCAGTAGAAGAAAACAGGCCCTAGAGCTTTCATACAAAAATTATGTTTTAACCATTTTATAATTAAATAACATCAAATATTTAAAAGAACAGCACTGTGATGTTTGGTGCCACTATAAGTAACTTTTCATACAGCTATGTATTTACAAGTACTCTTTATTTGTCTGTAATCATTCTGAAAATAAGTGCAAAAGTCTAATATTCAAAAGCTAAACACCTATCACTCTGATGCATGCTAAAAGAGGGTGAAGAGACTAATACTAAAGAACCATAAAACAGAAGTATGAGATAAATGAATTTCCTATATGCTTCGCATATACATCTAAACAAACACACACACATGCGCGCGCACGCACACACACACAATTAGTACCCTCTGGTATGATCCTTACTATCTTTAACATTTCCAACATTTTGTGTACATATCAAATTTATTCTTTTCCTTCAAACCTGGAGTCTACCATAAGTCACCAACTGTAACAAGTGATTTTTTTTCCTTAATCATATTAAGTTTGAAACTTGATTATCTTATTACTGTTTCCATGTTTTTTCATTAGCTTTTATGTAAAATTCAATAATATACTTGAATTTAAAATAAACATTTAACAAAAAATGGTTGCTAAAATTATCAGCTCAACATGTAAAAGGGCATGTATAAAAACTCAGTGACCATCACACACGATAAAGACTGAAAATCCTTCCCCGAGATCAGGAATAAGATAGCGATGCCTGCTTCCACCGCCACTACTATTCAACACTGTACTTTAAATTCTAGCAGGAGCAACTAGAAAAGAAAAATAAAATCATCCCAAATGAAAAGGTAGAAGTAAAACTATTCATACATGGCATGATGCCATATATAGAAACACTCAAAGATTCCACAAAAAAAGCTCTCAGGGCTAATAAATGAAAAATTACAGGGTACAAGAACACCACACGAGAATCAGTTGTGTTTCTATACACCAACAATTAACAATCAGAAAAAGAAATGAAAACAACTGCATTTCAAGGAGCATCTAAAACAATAAACTTTCTGGGAATAAATTTAATCAAGGAGGTGTAAGACTTGTCACTGAAAATTACAAAACCTTGCTGCAAGAAATTAGACCATTTTAAAGAAATAGAAAGACTTAACATTGTCAAGACGTCAATACCACACAAGCACTCTACATATTCAACACAATTTCTATTAAAAATTCAAAGGACTTTTTCAGAAATGGCAAAAGCCATTCCCAAATTCACAATGAATTGCAAAGGAACCTGAATAGCCATTATCTTGAAAAAGAACAAAGTGGTAGGACTTATACTCCCTGATTTCAAAACTTACTACAAAGCTACAGTAAATAAAACATGTGGTACTGACAAACAGATGGACATATAGGCAAACACATACATACAGACCAACAGAATAGAACTGAGTTCAAGATAAACCCATATGTCTATGGCCAACTGATTTTCGAAAAGGGTGCCAAATTCTTTCAATGGGGAAAGAACAGTCTCTTTAACAGATGGTGCTGGGACAAATGTATTTCAACATGCCAAAAGAATGAATTGGACCTTCTACCTTACACCACACATAAATATAACTAAATATGGATCAACAATTTAAATATAAGAGCTAGATCACAAAATTCTTAGAACACATAGGGTGAATCTTCATGATACTGGATTTGACAATGAATTCTTAGATGTGAAACCAAAAGCACAAGAAACCAAAGAAAAAAATATTAATTGGACCTCATCAAAATGAAAAACTTTCACACATCAAAAGACATTATCAACAAGTCAGACAACTTACAGAATGAAATATTCAAAAAACATTTATCTGACAAGGGTTTAATATCCAGAATATATTAACAAATTCCCACAACTCAACCACAAAAAGACAAAAAATCCAAAATGGGCAAAGCATCTGAATATATTTCTCCCGAGAAAATATACAAGTGGCCAATAAGCAGATGAAAAGATACACAACATCATTAGTGTACTGACTGTATTTTCCTATTTGCTGTATTCTTGATGCTCTGGCCTTTGGAGACTTGATCCTGGAGAAACTGCTCCTCCCATCACTAGCTAATTCCTAGACAGCAAAGGACTCTCTTACAAGCACACCTTTGATATACGAAACAATCAATCTGGAGTTCATATCTCTATCTTTATAAAACTTTCACATACCAAGTCAATATTCCCCCATCCTAAATCACCCCACGGCCAGGAACCAGGAACCAGACATCTAGAGAGTGCTCCTGGAGGCCAAAGTTCCCAGAATTATTCTTTTTGCCCTGCCTTGCCTTCTGCGAAAACCCCAATACTATATGCTCTGAGCCATGATCTCCCCTTCCTTCCCCTCTGCCTGCTGACCAATGCTGGTCCATTCCATGGTGTGTCATGCCTCCTTGTTTCTAGGGATCTGTGAGCATAACCTTCTTCCTTCGTGACAATCATTTGCATATGTGCATGTCTTACCATATCAGATTAAAATAAATCCCAGGTACAATTTGTAATACATCAGAAGAGAAATGCAAGTCAAAACCACAATGAGGTAATGCTTCGCACTACTAGGATGGCTACCATTAAAAGAAAAAAGAAAAAAAGAACAAATGTTGGCCAGGATGTGGAGGAACTGGAATCCTCATACACTGCTGGTGGGAATGTAAAATGCTGCGACCATCATGGAATACAGTTTGGTGGTTCCTAAAATATCTAAACCTACCATTGCCCTATGAACAGCAATCCCACTCTTATAAGTACACGCAAGAAAATTGAGAACAAGAACTCTTACACATACTTGTATTCCAATATTCACTGCAGCATTAATCACAATAGCTAAAAAGTAAACATAACTCACAAGTACATCGAGAGATAAATGGATAAACAAAAAGTCACATACCTAACCCATACAATGGAATACTATTCAGCCATGAAAAAGAAATAAAGTTTTCATACATGCTGCAACACAGATGAACCTTTAAGACATTGCAATAAGTGAAATAAGCTAGACAGAAACGGACAAATATTGCATTATTCAACTTATATGAAATATCTAGAATAGGCAAATGCATAAAGAAGAAAGTAGATTAGAGGCTAACAAAGGCTGAGGGAGGGGAAAGGAGAATGTGGAATGATTGCTTAATGATCACAGAGCTTGTTTGGAAGGAGAATCCTCGAAACGTATTTTAAACAAAAGGGAAAAAAGACATGAATGAAATTTATCTTCTTTCTGGAAAGTCTCACAACTGCTGAATATTGTTGGTAACACAAGCTTGAAAAATGTTAGATTTGAATGTTAAACTGATCCAATAAGCAATTTGGATATTGAATGCAATGAAAGAGTTCTCAAATTGAGAGGAGAATTAATAATTTGGGAGGAGTCTGATAATAAGAGGAAAAAGTGAAATTAAGGTAAAGTGATTAATTCGCAGTGATAGTCACTGATGACAGAGAAATTGCTATAGCATCAAACAACTGCTTTATTTTAAAATCTTACTTCTCAAATTATTGCTGTTGTTTTTTTTTTTTAATTACCCAGCACATTCTACAAGGGGGTTTGTGATGCTGTGAAAATTGAGAGTAAATGTGCTTTTGTATATTTATTATGCTTCAACACGTTTTGAAAACTTATCCGACATATGACATTTTAACAAAAACTCAGTAATGTACTCCATATGTGTATTTTTAAATAATCACATAGCTCACGGGCTCCTTCTCTGGATCCCAAATATTAGTATGCCATTCTAGTCAGTCCCGCTCCTACCTTCTGAGTTTCCTTTTCTTATTCTTCCAGTCTCTATCAGTAAGTTTCCAACCCATTTTTCAAGATTCCCATATGTATAAAATTATAGATTTTCCTCAGTCTACTTATCAAATGTAAATGTCCCCTTTTCACTGATGCCCTCACTCCCACCGTTCCTCATTTGTTTATAAAATTTTAAGAAAGACAAACATTAACTGTTGTAAGGTAGCAACAGCAGATATCTGGGCAGTGGCAGAAGCTCTGTTCTTAATAGTCCCACTCTACTCACTTATCTTTAATGTTCCAACCTTTACCAGCGAGTGGAAAATTATCTATTCAGATCATGCATGCTCATTTATTTACAGAAACTACTCTGAAATTACCTTTGATCTTTTGTTTGGTGTATATGCTTTTGCATTGCTAAATATCAATCGGATGTCTTTGCAGAATTCCAAAGGGCTATCATAATTTTCCGCTTCTAACGTTTCCCTTACTGTTCCAAAATCCATTGGAGTATCGATAATATCTCGGTAGTCCTAGGTTTGAAAAAACAATAATTAGTTCACAGGTTCAATTCCTGCTTTTTGAAATGTAAGTCATCAGATCTCTAAAATATTCAAAATGATAGAAGGAAAAAAAACTAATAAGATCTTAAGAATTATTAATTTTTTTTTTTTAAAGAAGGCCCAGACAGAGCCAAGGTAAGAAATAAACCAAAAATGTTATACATAGTAGAAGTATATGGAATAGTTTTTATTTCCTTCTTTACAGCCTTCTGTAATTTCCAAGCATTCTAAGCATATCTGTGCTTTATAATCAGACTTTTTTTGAAAGGTCATTTTCCATTCCCCTATTACTGGAGTGAAGAAAGACATTTTTTACACTTTATAGTTTTCCTGGGGCTGAAACTACACAGATACTAGATAACCGTGCAGAATCCCACCATCGCAACGTAACTCTTCTACAACTGACTCATTAGTAAGAGGAAAGCTAACACAAAGCCTAGACATCCTACTCTTTACAAGTTTAATTTAAATTCTCTAACCTGATCTCCTCTACACAAAATAAGACAAGCCCCAAACATTTCAACAATGGCAACTTACTGGATATTCAACCAAATCAACAGGTTGTCTAAATGGTTCAGAATCTTCACATTGAAAAATTAAGTTCACTAGTTCCTTACACTGTTTCTTCCAGTTGCTTTCAACATAGTTGGTTGCTTTGATGCTCCTTTTTTTCCAATCATGGACCTAAAAATACATTCAAAATATTAAAAGCTTTTTTAGTCTTGGAATAGTTATACTATGGTATGGTATGGAGTTTCTACTTTGAAAAAATCCACCTTCCTGTAAAATTCAATAACGTCATGTCTGTTACTCTAGAAACATTTTTCATTCCACCACTTAACTCTCAATTTTAGAAAATATTTTCATAGAATTTGAAGTATCACATTGGATAACGTGGAAGGCAGAGTAACAGCTCAAAGATGTCTACATCCTAATCCCAAGAACCTGTGACTATGTCACTTAACACATGAAAAGGACTCTGCAGATGTGATTTGAGATGGGGAGACTGTCCTGGATGATCAGAGTGGGCCCCATGTAACCACAAGGGTCTTGATAAGAGGGAGGCAGAGGGTCAGAGGCAGAGCCTGGAAGATGGTTACACTGCTGGCCTGAAGATGGAAGAGAGGGCATGACCCTCTAGAAGCTGGAAAATACAAGGAAACAAAGGTACACAGCCATGTTGACACCTTGATTTTAGCACAGTGAGACCCCATGTCAAACTTCGAACTCAGAACCGTAACCTAATATTCTTGTTGTTTAAGCCACTGGATTTATGATTTGCTTACAAATTCAAACAGATACTAAACACGAGAGACTTCTATGAACATGACAATCAGATGGCAATGATTCAAGTCTAACTTTTCAATGTTATTTGGGGCAAGCATATTATGAAAATTAATGTTATAAAAAGCTTAAATTTAAGCAGCATTTGGATGAAATTATAAATGTTAACATTTTGAGCACTTTCAAATTAATAATCTTTACTTTTACTTAATGTATTACATTAGAACTTTAAAAGTTTGCTTGTGACAAACAATTCTAACTACCCAATATCCAAAACTTATTTCTACACATAGCCCCCAAACTAATCCTCATTTAAAAAAAAAAAAAAGTTCAGTAACCAAATGCTAGTAATTTCCCCCTAAAAAGGACTCATGTTCTTCCCTTCCTCTTCATTCCGAGCAAACACTGTCCTCGACCAGGTTCCCATCCTTCACTCCTAAATTCTTCAATGAAGTCCTAACTCTCTTCCTTTAAAACCTATCCTCTCACTGCTTAAAATCTATTTGTTTTGGCTGCACGATTGAGTCTCTACTTTAAATGAAAACCTTGGTTTTCAATATCGCCATCATCTGCCCCCACCATGACAGCCAGATACGGCCACTTTTGCTCACTCCAACATTCAACCTCTACGCCAGGCAGGCCAGTGCCCTCATGGTAATATTCCCCACTTTCTGAATGTCTTCCTCTAACACCACCTCCTGAGAACACAGTTCAAATCCCAACTCTTCCACTAAACCTTACCTAACTAGTCACCTTTTGGTGCCTGCTCCCCTTTCTCTTACAAAATACTCCACATCTATATCAATGTAACTTTCAAAAGATAACACCTAACATCTTAGGTGGATTTTAACTTACTCTCCTTCTTCCAGAAGATGTTTTAGGAAGATCACTATCATCCTAGGAATAAAAATCAGAGAACACCTTAAGTGTTAATATTCTCATTAGAAACATAATAATCTTAATTTTAAAAACATATCAAAGACATTAGGTCTTACAATAATTCCAAAATATAGCTATGAAAAAGTAGCGTTAAATTTGTTTTATCTCTATCCACAAACCCCAGAAACACACAGTCTCCTGAAGTTCCTGGATTTCGTACTCTACGTGTTTTCTCATTCACTTAAATCACATATTATATACTCCTTTTTACTCCAATATAAATTAGCATGAAATCAGTGAACTACAACGAAAGTGTGTAGAAATTAATACTATACTGTTTTTAAAGATGATCTTTCCTGCAACTCCACCTGACAGCCTGATTCCATAGTGAAGTACAACACCACCACGTCACTGACATTTGCCTTTACTTACACTCTGGGACCATCTTTAAGTGAAGAACTTTAGGGTACTCTGAGCATGTAAGTTATTAATTTTTAATTACAATTAAATCCAACTCTCAGATATTGGTTTTACCAAAAATATTTCCAAGGTACTTCTTTAATGCACTTTTCTCTAGCTAAAATTTAGAAAGAGAATCTATTCCACACCTAAGTTATTCATTTAGACATATCTTTTTTGATACTGGTATCAATTATCGGCTAAAACGAATGACATCACTGACCATATAGAAAATTACAAAAAATATTTTATCAAGGACCCTACTTTCATAGTTCACTAGACTACAACAAGAATTGATACGGGTAATCAACATTTTCTACGTCACTCATTATTTTCAAATTACCACTTGAAAGTAACAAAAATCATTATACGATTAACAAATTTCATACCAAATCCTCGGCATTTTGCTCATCATTTTCAGAAGTATTAGAGAGCTCTGAGATATTTGTACAGTCTTGATTCCTAAAAAACAATTTTTTTATTTTTTTTAACCGTATGCAGATGTAGTTATTATTGTCAAAGATTCAAACTACAGGTTAGATATAAACAGTACCCAACTGTGCCTACCTAATTTCAAGCAAATGAATACCAGGTTTTTACTCTACCCTCTGTGGAAACAACTGACCACCTTAGAATACTGAAAGTAAGGGGTTAAGAATATACAGAAATAAGCTGGTAATCCAGAAATAACATATGTATGGCCTCAGCTGGATAAATACACGAATGAATTTTCCTAAGTATCATCACTAGTAATATTCATATAATGAGTACCAGGAAAAATGATAGATCTGAGATAAAAGAGAACAGAAGGAAAAAGAAGAAATTAAAGCGAATTATATCTTAACCTCACTGTACACACAGAAGAAAGAATGTAAAGTAAGGACATCCAGGCGTAAGGGAGAGGAAAATGGGTGTGTGATCTTCCTAAAGAAAAAGAGGTAACACGTCTGAGTCTTCCAGACACAGGACAGACTCAATTCAGGAAAGTGAGATAGACAGAAATCGGTTATTCCCCAGTTTGTAGCTAGATACTGAAAATGAGGGCAGAGTTTATAAATTATCTTCTCTAATATATTCTTTCAGAAGAATTTTTATAGCTATGGCGAAAAGGCATATAAGAGGATATAGCAAAACTCATTCATTTTAAAGAATACAGACTGAGTCATTTGTCCAAAGTCACACAGAATGTTCACTAAAACAGATCAGACTAGACCTTGAATCTCAATTTCCAGGTCAGTTCACCATACTATTCCAAATTGATTTCCCAATACAAGAAAGTATGTGGAATATTCATACATGTACGGATACTCTCACAGGATACAATCCAAAGATTAAAACTCAATCTAAGCATGAGAAAACATCAGACAAACCCAATTAACTATACTCTACAAAGTAAATGTTTAACAATCATAAAAATGATGAGGTCGTGAAAGAAAGAAAAGACTGAGGAACAGGTTAAAGAAAATTCACAAAACAGTGGACGTGATGGGAATTCTGGACTGGATCCTGACACATAAAAAGAACACTGATGTAAAATAAGTCCAAGAAAGTGCTACACTTTAGTCAATAGTATGGTACGAAGGACAATTTCTCAACATTTCAACAGGACACCACAGATATGTAAAACGTTAACGTAAAGGAAAACAGGGTAATGGAGATACATAGATATATATTTACCTATCTATCTATATACACAGAAACTCTCTGTAGTTTAAAATTATTACAAATTTTAAAATGTAAAAAAATTTGAATTGCTCATGTCTTTATCATCACCATAGGTACAGAAAGAAATGTCAATTAAAGCAATACAATAAAAGGGTATAATTCAGAGAGCAAAAATTAAGAACTGGATGGCTGCAAGAGCACAATATACAAAGTCACCTTTCTTTAACATCTATAACATGAGGTCACTTACTTGATAAATTTTAAAAGTTGGTCAGTTATCTTCTTGGCTGATCTTGCAATTACACTCTCTGGCTCATTAAATGTTCTGGCATTATGTTCTATGTATCTGACTTCCCAAACTAATGCAGACAGTCTCCTTCAAAATAAAAAGTAGGCAATTTAGAGTTCAGCAAATAAAAAGACCGAAACCAAGTAAAAAATAAAGCATGTTAAGCCAGCATTAGGTATTAATTGAACCATAAGTACAAAGTAACAATGAATAACTTTCTTGCGCTATCACCTTGGTCACAGTCATAAGCATTATGTTGGAAGCTGAACTGCGGAAAATCTTAACGGATGACTTAATCACATCCAGAAAACCAACAGAGCAACCCTCCCTTTTCACAGTATCCGTGCCCATTTTACACTGATACTCAATGAAGAAAATATGTTGAACACTGAATCCTAACAGAGTCAATCTCACTAAACCGGCAAAGCAGCTTCTGATCAAATATGTGTTTCCATGTTTGACTAGAGATCGATTATACCAACAATGTGAACTCGAAAACTCAGTTTTATAATGATAATTTTTCAGTTGGAATTATAAAAAATACCATCGCCTGCTAAAAAAAATCATTGAGAATAAGAAATTTTATAGTTATCAGTACTCTATAAGGTAGAAATTAAAAAGTAGATGACTCCAGGGAATTACTCTTTCAAAGGCCAAAGTCCCACTATTAACTAAGTTATATTTTATTTTTAAATGGAGCAGCTAAATAGGAATGTCAACATACAAATAAAAAACAAATACAGCTTCTAATTACTTAAGAATTTGTAAGAAAAACAGATTACTAAAGATTGAAAAATGAAATCTGATCATTTTTCTTATCCAGGTTCTATTCACACCTGTACCCACAGGCACCTAACACAATGTCTCACAAGACCACAAAATTATAGTAAGACAAAACTGAAACAGAAAATGATGTTAGACATTCTCCTTTCCGCCACTGTCAACCACCACTACTTCTGTTTACTCCAGTTGGTACGGCCATGTATCTTCTCAAACTATTTTTTAAGTAGGTTTCCACTAACCTGTAAAATCGATTAACAAGTCTCATTCGAATTGTGTAAAGATCAGTGGGATACGCTACCACGGTGCAATACTTTGGGTAAGTACACAGATCGACTGGACCTGCAAAAGCTGCTGCTATCTCTGTAAGGGCAGACAAAAGAATTTTATCAATAAATGCATCATCTCTGAGATTTTCTACAAATTATTCATAAAACAGAAACACATTAACACTGCAGGCTTAACCAAACAAACAGAAATTGTCATAATGAACACAAGCACAATTACGCTACTATTTTAAAATACTTGAAAGTTTGAACATGAAACTTTTCATCCTAAAAAACTTACCAAGATTCAAAAGTTGATCTATACCACTAATAATTCGTTCACATTCTTCATCTCTCGATTTCTGACCCCATTCACCATCTTGTGGTTTGTAGAGCAATTTCTCTAGTTCATCTGAAGTGACAGAAATACTAGCTCCTAATTCTTCAGGTGGATCAACTATGAATTCCATTAAAAATGAAAAAACAAAAAACAAGTATATATTTAATATCAACTGTCCAAGGTCATTAATAAGACACTAATTACAAAGGAAAGAGTAGTTCCTTTATAGCAGAGAAACCTGGCAGATATCATTTCAATCAAATGATTATGATGCAGTAAGGACACATCCCTTCTGTGACACTCTCACCCAAAATGCAAACCCTAGATTTAATCATGAGAAAACACTAAACCAACCCAAGCTGAAGGAAACTCTACAAAATAATTGGCCAGTACTCTTTGAAAGTCATGGTCATGAAAGGTTAGTGAAAGACTCAGAGACTCCAGATTAAAAGAGGTTAAAAAGACAAGCAATGAAATCCAAGGTGTGAAAAGCTATTAGGACGCTGCCCAATGCGAACTGTTACAGCTCTGAATTGCGTTGGTGACAGCTTCCTGACTGTGACAGCTGCACTATGGTTCTCTAAGATGTTGACAGCTGAGAAAACTGGGTATTCATAAATTCCTTGTATTACTCCTGTAACATTCTGTAAATCTAA